AATGAGTCATAATCATGTTCCGGTAGGAAGATGGCCCCAGTCTCGTGCGCGCTCTCTCCTTCTCGTAACCTGTTTGCCTTGTAGAAGTTCTGTGTAAAATTTGCCACAATACGCCTCCGCATTGATTTCTTCTGGTGTCTTCTTCCTCTTTGAAAATGTTTCTCCTTCTGTAACCATAGGACTTTTGAAAACTGATTCAATTGCAATCATTTTATGTGTTAGTAGTCTTGAGATGAACCATATCCAGATCTAGTGAGCTGCTTGCATAAAACAATTCTTCCAAATATTTATCTCATTGCTAATGTGCACATTTGCATTGAATCGTAATATGATTCAATATGATCTCATTCCTAGGCACAAAATTTCTTTCCATTTGACTAAATATGAGCTATTCGATCACTTCAGAAGATGTTTTTCTTTGAAAATTCAACTTCATCCTGAAAAAGTACATATCAATTTTTGAGTAGATCGTTCTCCGCTAACGTTTCTTGTTTTTTGTTCTTTTCTTTTTTCTTCAGGTAGAGATTTAATCAATGGTTTAGTAATCCTCTACATGTAGAAGATTTCTTAAAATTCGCTTGCTTTTCCAATGACACAACTATCCTCTGATTTAACTGAATTAAACTCCAAGAACGGGGTAGTGAAATCATATTTCGGCACCTATGTCACTCATAAACTTGTAGTTTCTTTAAAATTGTTATTAGTGATTATTTCTTGCTAAAAAATTGAATCACTTTTATTGAAGCACATTTTCTACTATCATTATATCAGAAGATTGAAGCATAGGGCTTTTTGAAAGCAGTTGGAAGTATTATGCGAGCAGTTGTGGTTTTGATTATAATGATAGACAACTCGAGCAATCTTCCTTTCTTATGCCTTCATGGAGTAAATATATCACTAATTTAGGTATTTTTGGAATGATATTAGGTTGATTTCCATGTTTTAACCTTGTCATTTCTTATATAAGATTATTACCGTTGTTCTTCTTTTAGACTGCTTACTCTTTAATCAAACTCTTCTCACGGCTATCTATTGACTATTTTTGCACTGTTTTCGATTTTCCTTATTTGCCGCAAAAGCAGCCTAAAATTCCTTGCAGGATTTCATAGCATAAAAGAAGGCGAGAATGTCCGTGACAGGACATTCGGATGTCGACATGGAGTCGGCATCTGCCTTTTCACCTTCTGAACCATCTATTGATGGGGTATTTGTGTCAAAACACAACCAAAGTGCAGAGATTTACCAGGTGAGGTTCACAGAAATTTATAGTTCATCATCACTTTGCCTGTCTCATGTTAATCTTGGTTCAGATTTTTAAAGAAGATGTGGATGCGCTGCTCTCTGGCAGAACTCCTCAACACGAACAACCTGGATTGATACAGGTTGCTTACAGATTATTTGAAACCCTTTAAACGCAGCCCTTCTCAGAGAGTAGGCAAACTTAGTAAAAGTTCCTTGTTTTAAGAGCCCTATACAAATCGCATTATAGAGATTTTCTAAAATGAGATAAATAAACGTTCAGCCTTCGCTTCCATCATTTTTCTTTGTCATAATCAATCTTATCAGTATTGTCTTTTTCTTGAAACTTCTTAAAATTATTTGCAGAGAATCCTGCATACGTGCGAGAATATGTATGTCGTATTTGAAGATGAGAAGCAGCATCTGATGGGAGATGTTTTGTTATCCTGGGCAATGAAACAACAACGGGTAAGGATATGAAGTAAGGCTGATTTCCTCTGCACGACAGAAAGAAGTTCATTCAAATTCAAAAATTGCCCCATTGAAGCATCGCGTATCTCATGCCTTTTTTAATGTCTAGATTTTTTAAAGGCAAGGATGAGTATTTGAATGTTAAGGGGCAAGTTGAGATTGTGAATGACGGAAACGACAATGCTTCGTTCGTTTCGAAACGAGAGGGAAACATAACATTAAGCAATTTAAGGTTTTACGATAGTCAGGGTATGACTGCAGCACCACTAAAGAAAAACTCGTCCACCAACTGAACCGAAAGAGTTTTTACCCAAAATCAATTCACAAAAGAATTGATCCTCAGTCGGCTTTATGAATTCTTTCATTCTTTGAGAAGGACTATAAAACTGCATTAAAATAGCAATTTCCCTAACGTCGCAGATCCAAGAGAGGTATTCTGTTTATCATAATGCACATATTAATTTCAGGTGAGCATCGGGACACTGTGGACGCAGCAGCTCCATTACAAACAACTAGATGTGATTCATCTTCAGTAAGACTTAATTGAATGTTTTTGCATCTAAAGACGTTTTGCAAGTTACCAAAGTGTGATGGCGTGGGTTTTTTCCCTCCGCACTGTACAATTCATCATATGATTGAACAGGTTCAATTATTCTAGAACATGGCCTTGAACTTACCTCATCTGTATGAAAAAAATTCAGGTTCAGTGCTAATATAACTTCAGATTTGAATACTTTGGAGAACTCCTCCAACAAACATTGTCTGGACTCACGTACCTAAAGCAATATTTTCCTACAGCGTCATTTGATGAGGTACTTTTTTGATTTCGCGTCTGAACAACGTAGATTACAATAATTATAGCACAGATACAAAATGAACGAAATGCACTATGTGCAGGAAAATGAATTTGAAAAATTATGATAAGAACGAAGGAGTGATTGCAAGAGAGGAGGCACATAAACGCTTCATCAACTGCTTAAAGTTTTCTCAAGAAATAGAATGCAATTAAAGCTGAAAAAGTAACATAATAAAGCTAAGCCCCAAATCGGATTTGACATTGAAACAAGCGCTATGTTAAAAACTCAGACAAACTTTAAGTCGGTTTGAAATTTCAAGTGCTAACTATAACCGCAAATCCAAGTGTAATTACAAAAAAAAAACTCATCTCCTCAAAGTTTATCTCGAAATAGGAAAAGTTGCATACCTCAAAAACTATTATCGTACTCGGCTTTGTATTATCTAGTAGTCTCACAAAGTGCATTTCTCTTCAATAACTTATAAGCCACAAACACACAATTCGGAATATCCCTTTTCAAAAGCATTCACCTTTTAAAGTTGTATCGCCAAGAAAACCTTTCTTTTCAAAAAAGTGAAGAATGAGCTGTAGGCCCCACCATCCGCAACAATGCCCTATCTTGTAAGTTTATCATAAATTTTTACAACTAAAAAATTAAGAAAAATGTTTTCTGGGTAAGATTTTTCAATTCAAATAAATTACGCTCCATCTTGTAATGAAAATTATTTTTAATGG